CCTTATCTGAATAGACCATTTGGTTGCCTAACTCCTATTCTTACTACTATAGAGTAGTTAAAGTTTTATCACTTCCAACATCTTAGGATTCCCCCACCCTCTTCTGTCTCCCTTGCGATGCTACATCCTAAAAGTCTTTCCCGCTTTCCCTGACACTCCCTTTTATTTACATAAGCTACTTTATCTTAATTGCCCGCAATTCGTTCAAGCGGTTACAATTTTGCAAAGTCGCACTAACATAGTTTTTATTTTATAAACATCTTGTTTTTATTTCACAACAACAATAAAAACAAAAACTCGTCTCCATCAAAATAAAAAAAATCCAACAACAAAAAAATCCCACTACCTTTTTTTTTCCTGTCTGCATGACCCACTGCAGAGCAGGAAAACTAAGAAAAACATAACCACAATGTGCAATATGAGTTGATTTTTCTGGGGTAAACAACTTTGCAAAAGAAGCCTTTCAAGGCCACAGGCTCGTCCCACAGTGACGTGAATCTGCAGAAGGGCTGCTAGTCTGGTGGTTACAGCAAGAGCCATTCTGGACAGCAAACAGAACCTCCCTGGGAATCTCTCCATCTTTCAGGAGTCCTCAGTCACCCAGTGTGTCAGCACAGGAAAACAGTCTCGCCTTTTAGCAAAACCAAGTCATGACCAGAATAAATATCAGGCAAATGAATAAAAATCATCAGGGCCAGTAGTAATTCAACCAGTCTGTTTCTGTGAAGTGAGTAATTGTTTCTGTACTCCAGAATGACAGAGATAGGACACCAGGAAAATTTTAGCTTAAAAAAAAAATAATATATAGAGACAGCAATTCACATCATGGCTTAAAAGAAATAAAGCCAAAAACATTTCCTAGACTGAATTTTCTAAATTGCTGTTTTAACCCAAGCATCCAACCCACCTCAATGACAAGAAACAACTGCAACGAAAGGCTCAGTGCCTCGCTGTGAAACAGAATTTCTCTGCAGTCCCACCAGGGAGAGGGCAGGCGGACAAACCTGCTGCCACTGCCATCACAAATCACAATTTATGACAGAAAGGGGCAAGAAAAGGGGAACGGCACCACGAGCCCCATTCCCGCAGGACCGGGGATCGGGACCACAAACCCCATCCCTGCAGGACGTCCAGGGGACAAGGACCACAAGCCCCATCCTTGCGGGGACCAGAGAGGGGGAACAGGGCCAGGAGCCCCATCCCTGCAGGGGACCAGGAAGAGAGGAACAGGACCAGGAGCCCCATCCCTGCGGGGGCCCAGGAAGAGAGGAACAGGACCACAAACCCCATCTCTGCAGGGAGCAGGAAGCAGCAGCGCATCCCCCATCTCTGCGGGGAGCAGGAACAGGCCAGGCCAGGGGGGCAGGCCGCAGCATCTGCGGGCCAGCATGGGCACAGCTCAGCCATTCCTGCAGGGCCAGCGCAGGCCCAGCCCCGCTGCCCAGCTCAGCCATCCCCGTGCCCAGCCAGCCTCCCGGCCCAGCTCGGCCAGCTGCCCAGCTCAGCCATTCCCGTGCCCAGCTCAGCCATTCCCGTGCCCAGCTCGGCCATTCCCGTGCCCAGCTCAGCCACTTCCCGTGCCCAGCTCAGCCATTCCCGTGCCCAGCTCAGCCATTCCCGTGCCCAGCTCAGCTATTCCCGTGCCCAGCTCAGCCATTCCCGTGCCCAGCTCAGCCATTCCGCCCAGCTCAGCCTGTGCCCAGACCCCGCAGGTGCCCCCCGGGTCCTTTCCCCGGCTCCCCGGGCCGCTCGGGGGTGCCCGCATTGCCCCGGCTCCCCGGGCCGCCCCGCGTTAGCGCGGTGAGTCAGGACAGCCCCGGGCACGGCAAACCCAGCCCGCTCCCAAACCCGTAAACACGCCCTGCCGAGCCAGAGCTCCGCAGCTCCCGGGAGAAGCCTTCCCTCTCTTCCCTTCCTCCCTCTCTTCCCTTCCTCCCTCTCTTCCCTGCCTCCCTCTCTCCCCCCCCTTCCCCAGCCCCGCTCCTGTTCCCGCAGCGCTGCCCTCACCTTGCCCGTCGCTGCCGGTGTGAGCGCGGCGGGGGCTGCGGCGCTGCCGGCCCGCGGAGCCGCCCCGGGGCGGAGCGCAGCGTCCTCTGACGGCACCAGGGCTGGGCGAGTGATGCCAAGAGCGGGAGGAGCCATCCCGAGGGCCTGGGAACGGGAGGAACCTGCGCAGTCACTGCGCACACAGGCCGGGAGGGTTCTTAGGAAGGGTTCTTAGGAAGGGTTCTTAGGAAGGGCTCTCAGGAAGGCGGTGCCGCCCTCACCCGCGTTCTTCCCGAAGCCCGTCACGCGTTGCCACTTGTGGTCAAGCCCTAGAATGGGTGGGGTTGGAGGGGACCTTAAGGGTCAGCTCTTTCCAACCCCGACACCTTCCACTAGGCCAGGTTGCTCCAAGCGCCATCCAACATGTCCTGGAATATTTCCAAGGAATGGGGCAGCCACAGCTTCTCTGGGCAACCTGTGCCAGGGCCTCACCCCCTCTCGGCCAAGAATTTCTCCCCAATATCCTGTCTAAACCCACCCTCTGGCAATGGGAACCCATTTCCCCTGGTCCTGTCACTCAGTGCCTTTGCCCAAGGTCCCTCTCCAGCTCCCTTGGAGCCCCTGAGATGCTGGAAGGTGCTCTAAGGTCTCCCCAGGGCCTTATGGTGGGAATTAATAGATTAGGGAAAACAAGACTTGTAGAACACACAAAGGAACAAACCAGGAATGGAAAGTGGCAGTTTCCTCCAGAGGCATCTGAATATAGAGCTAAACATTCACAACCTAGAAAAACACTGAAGAAGAGCAACAGCAACGTAGCTGAGGACACCAAAAGGGGGGTTTTGTCACATTAAGAGACTTAGATCAATGCTCTTTAGAAAAAAATAAGTTGAGTGCGGACTTGAGTACAATGTTAAACACATGTAACTACCAGCTGTATTTTAAAAGGAATGTCGGATTTATTTTTGTTACTACACCAAAACTGCCAATTTATTTGCTATGCCTAAAGCAAATCCCAAATCACTCAGAAGTTACATCAGATTCCGTTGATGTTGCAAGATGAGTATCAGTCACCTGAGCATATGATCTTACAAATGCCTAAAAGATTTTACCTCTGTTTAAGCCATAAATAAAAGCAAAATTGTATAAGGGTAAGATACTTGTGGGTTATTGGATGCAATTTATTAAATGAGAATCCACCCAATTAATATTTGATAGGGAAAAAAATCCCATATTAATTCAGTTAAATGAGGAACTGGGAACAAGGAACTTCAGCCAAAGCTGAACATTGACCTGTTTTTCCTTCCCAAAATGTGTCACCAGTCCCTGTATTGTCACAGATAAATGGTATTTCCAACTCCCACTGAATTTTTCATCTTACATTCTTTGCAAAAACTCTGAGGTATTAAACAATGTCAGGAAAAACTAAAACCAGCCCTGGAATAACTTGCACAGCAACTTTTGGTTGGTGTCTTTTTTTCGACTGTCCGGCACAGCACTTGTTTTTCTCTCATGTGATGGAGTCATAGCAAGGAAATCATGGCCAAAGGTCCTCTCCATTAAATCATTCAACCAGCAAAATCCCACGAAAATGCTGTAGGAATCGTACAAAGAGACTGTCAGTGTAGGGCTCTTCCATGGACAGAAAAAGGATGAGATTAGTTTCATATTTGTGTTGGATGTGCCAGAGTTAACAGGGCTGATTTTACCTTGCCAGGTGAAGTCTTAACCAAGCACCTGTACCAGAGTCAGATCTGAGCCAGGAGAAGGTGGCAGGAAGGGAAGGCCATCCCTGTGTTGAGTGTTATAATCTGATTACAGATCTTGGATTACAGTGACCACAGGAAGAATTTGGCAGCTGGATGCACTGTGTGGTGGGTGTTACACCTGCCCAAAACCTGCAGGATCTCTCAATCCTCTCCTGCTGCTCAGTGAAGATTCTGACAGCCCAGCAGTGCTGAGGAAAATCCCCACCTCCTTGTTTTCCTCAACTGTCTTGGCTGCTGTTTTTCTCTTCACGTTGATCCTGGGATTCTGTGATTCACACCTCCCTGGCAGTGCCTTCAGTTCTGGGTGGGGTGGGGAGAGCCTCTGCCTTCAGCCCCGCCCCAGCTGCACATCCTGAAGAGCTACAACGCTTTGGGCAGCTCCGGGTGAATCCCCCTGTGCTAAAATAGCTGCCTGGAGCAGAGACATAACCTTCTCCCTGTCACAAACACCAACTGTTCGGGGCAGTAACAGCAACCTGCCACTTCCCTGCTTCCCTCCTCGCTCCACGGACACTCCTGGCCACCAGCAGAGGCCTCACAGCCTGGCACTGCGGCTGAGAACAGCACTGTCCTGTACCGTGACCTCTCCCACAGACAGCAATTGTTACAGCTCATCTGTGACCCAAGGGGAACCACTCCCTAAAAAGAAGAAAAAAAAAGAGTGAAATTGCCAAGGGTTGGCAGTGTTTGTGTCCCATGCCCTTCAGCTGATTCCACTGAACTAGAACATACAGATTCTGGTAGGAATCCTCCCAGGAAAAGCCTCCAGCCATGAGGGTTATCTTGTCCCTAAAAAGACACAACAGTCTGATAGCCCTGGAGAAAGTTACAGCCCCACTAAAACCCTTTTTCACTGATCCTTAATGAAATTTCTGTGAAAAAGCATCAGACCACAAACACCACATCTTCCCCTCCCAAGTGACAACGGCAGCGTTTTGGAACTGCTGCAGCAATTGTCACTCCTGTGAGGAACAGCACGAGTTGGGTTTGCCTCTCCAGATGCTCCCCCGAGTGCCTGTTGGAGGGATCACACCGATCTCTACCCTGGGGGAGTGTGTGTGGCACTTCAGAAAGCAGAGCACAGGGAGAGTCCCATACCTGGACTTGCAAAAAAACCCTGCAATTAGTCAATAATGGAAACTTTGAGCTGGAACCACAATGTTTTCCCCCTCACAGGAGCCTGTCACATTCTGCCTGTCACATAATTATTGCCCAAGTCTTGGCAAGAACAGTCTCATGCAGACCTTGAGAGTGAAGGAGGCAGTTAAATTGTTTATTAACGACAACAGAAATAAAGTTAAATTGATAAAGCAAACAGATACTTCTTTAAATATAAAGTTTCTAGTCTAGTGTTCTGTCAGGCTCCCCTCTTTCTTTTCTTTTTTTCTTTTTTCTTTTTATTTTGTAGTTACAAAAATCCAGAGGATTTAGGGAAATATACTTAACATAAATTGGTCATCTACAACAACAGCAAACATTTTATAAAGAAAAAAAAACTCAAAATGTATTTACAAATCCATCCTTTGTAGTCATTGCGAAGTTTCTTGGTTAACAAGTAACAGATTTATGCATGGTCACTACATTCCCAGAGGCATTATCCAACCAGAGTCACTTAGCATAAAATTAAGCTGACAACAGATTGTCTAAAAATAAGGCCAGTTTCACTCCTAATTTATGCACCAGAATTTTCTGCTATTCCTATGTTGATTAAAAAAAAAAAATAGCATAAGAGCACCTAAACTCACCCGAATGGGATATACAGACCAAACTTCAAGTTTCATTCTTAGTTATTCAGAGCAGACACTCAAGAGAAAGGACAATAAGATACAGCTTTTTTGCCATCTTGTCTATTGCTGATTTTTAAATGCTTGTACAAAAACAAACCCCCCATACCCTATTTGCAGTATGATCATAAATAGGCAATAGTTTAAAAATGTAAGATATGATTACCTTGGACTATCAAGCTGTTTCACACTTCAGAAGAAAGTGGACAAAGCCCAAACACCTTCCTCTTCCTTTCCCTCCCTTTGTCCCCTCCCTCCACTCCCGTTTCCAAACCAGGGAAAAAGAAGCTATACTCTAATGGATCTTGGAACTGGCACCAACATTCATGCTAGTTGTCCTGATGTGCAACAGAGAGTTCATTTACAAGAGTCAGAAATATTCTTATGCACTAGCCCCAAAGACTTCAGCTCCAGAAGCATTCCAGAAACAGTTTGTTTGGGAAAAATCCCATCAGGTACGATGTGGGCAGTGCCCAGAGGGCTCAGGAATGTCCAGCACCCTGGGTCGATCTTCAGAGTCATCAGTGGCTGTGGAATCTTCATCTTCATCCACTGCAGGCTCATTAGGATTTGTTTCCTAATAGAAAATACACCCATGGTTTAATTAAAACCTCCTCTTCCAGTTATAAGAAAGCACCAACAACTGCCTAGAAAAATCTGATCTGCAGTATCACACTGATGAACTGAAGCAGACATTGTGATCCATGTCCTAAAAGCAGCTCCTTACAATTGCTAAGTTTAATTTGCAAAAGAGATCGTCCTACCAAGTTACTTGACTTTTAACTCAGCAAGTCTCCATCGAGTTTCATCATTCCACACCTGCCACTGTGTAAACCCCAATTCAGTATTTCAGCTCTACTCATTTTCTTGGTGGCTTGTTGCCTTTTATTCATTTTAAAAACGAAAGGATCATTGCTACCTTTAAAACACAGGTAGAGCAACAGAGAAAAGCAAGTTATTTTTGCAGTCAGCTGAAGGGAAGGAGGTTTCAGCTCCCAAAACTATGAACAAGAGTTGTCATTTGCCTGTTAGAAGCACGACATCTGCTGGCACCTCCCGTTAGAGCCACTGGGAACGAGCGCCTCAAATCCTGGGATAAACCTGAGAAAGTGCACAGTGCCTACCCCTGAGGAAAGACTCAGGGCTTGCACAAAAACTAGGGATAAAATACATCAAGGAGTCTTCTCAACATGTGCAAGGAAAGGGAGAAATAATACAATTAACTTGCAATCTCCAAACTAAAATTGCATTATAATTTACAGCAAGTGAAGCACTTTGGTGATTTGCAAAGTCCCTTTATGAAATGCACTTTCAGCAAGAACTAATGAACATCACACAGACTGTACAGCCTTTAAACTGCCATTAACTGGAACTCATCTGAAAAAAGCTCATCTAAAACAGATGAATGTGGTCCTACAGACCACACTTCCAAGATCCTTTCAAGAAAGAACCTTTTAAAGAACTCTGAAACCCAAACAGCTCCTGCAATATTATGTTTGTAGGTAAAATATCTGAACTATCATTCGTGGTCTGTCTGGAGCTATTTTGAAAACTGCATCTCCACTTACCATTCATGCTGTAGACACCTTGAATGTTGGACACACCATATGGAATCTGGGAATCGTGACATTAAAGAATCTGTCCTTGTAGTAGAGGCAATGGAAGGTGTAATAGCCCTCCATGTACCCAGATGTTGTGGAAAACGTGGTACAGCTGGTGTATTCATAGACTCTCCCTGGACTGATAATTGGAAACTCCCCTGTTGGTAAAATATTAAATCCAAATGGTAAGGACTGAAGTAGAACTACAATTTAGCAATTTGCTAAAGCACTTGCACTCCACAACATATTCAGGCCACTCGTTTTATATTCCAGGGGATGCATAAATGACTTTCAGCAATTACTGATGTTCAAAAAAAAACCTGTCTGAAGAGCAGTTAAGTAGCAGGGTGTTCAGATATCCCTTACCAAACAGCTTTAAAGCCCAACCAGACGTATGCGTATCTTTTTCCCCCAAGCGACAAAATGATTTTGATCCAAACAGTAAAACTCCTACCCTGACCAACAGCTAATTCCAGAATTGTCACAGTAAGGACATTACTCTCTCTGTTGGGTTAGGAAACGCAATCTTTCACTTACCAACCACTCCAGGACCTTGGACTTCGTCCACGTCCCCTTTGGCATTGGTTATTCTCCAGTAGCGGCTGTCCAGCTGACAGGCCTTCTCAGGAAGGGCATCTTTGGACATTTCAATCCTAGAAACCAAAGGACAACAGTGGTTACAAAACTACTTTCACACACTTCAGGAATGCTTTAAGTGTTCTTGGGATCTCAAAAAAAAAAACCCACTAAGGGGTTACTAAAGCAACCTGACTCAGTTGGCAGGATCCATCTCCATGCCCCCTGCAGGGGATCCTGCCAACTGAGTCAGGTTACTTTAGCCCCTGCTCTGTTATTTACCCCTTTCTAAATCACAAGAGCTGCTTGCAACTTCCTTCCCCTCCACCCCACTGTGCTTTTCCAATTACCACCTTAGCAGGTAATGATTTAGAGCCTTTTATATCAAAGTACAGCATGTTGGGCACATCCTATTCATTTTAGAACTGTTTTGAATGCTGGGTATAAATTTTGCAACAACTGATGCTTTGAAGATTCCATAGATCTATCCTCTGTTAAAAGAAATAATTCAATTTTATTCCAGTTTTACCTGATTCTGTAAGTGAAGAAATAATGTGGTGGATGCACAGAACTGAGTTCAGGAAGAAAAGAGGTGGACACAGACACAGTAATATCTTCTGTGGTAGCAACACAGTCTTTATCATGCACATACCTACAGAGAGGAAAACATTAACTCTGCAAGCAGCTCTGCACACTCAATACAGAAAAACAGACATGGAAAGCCATTAGTTAAGTACTAATAAGAACACTGTGATGCTAAGTTAAATGCAATTTTTAACCTTTCATTAAGCAGTAAAATAAAGGATGGGTGTGTGCAGTGCCTTCATGTTGTGTAATTCCTCATCACCTAAGAAGCTGTGCTTCTCTTTCTAACTCCATTAACACTTGTACTAAGTTTGGTGCATTGTTTGATCTGAAGTCAATGAAAACACATGTGTTTAATATGGTTGTGTCATTGTGCTATTCAAAAAACAAAACCTAGAAACTCTAACAGCAAATTAATTTACAGATCAAGAACTTGGTTCTACAGCATCCCAGTTCGACAGAATTAAGGTTCTTGATTGTATTTAGAAGAAATTGCAAGTGCAAGAAGATTCTCACACCAGGTCAAGTCCTGTTTATTACATATTCAACAGTGTCATTTTAAAGACCAGCTCGCTGAAACAATTGGTTTTGTAGTAACTCAGAGCAGTCCTGTAACAGCAGCACACTCATGGCACACAGAATAAAAATCATGCTGTTCACTAAACTTCAGATCACTTATAATGCAAAATTCTGGTCCCATTAATGTGAAGTTGTAAGCTCTGAAGTTTCTGCTTAAAAAAATAAAGTTGCTTTAAGCATTCTGTTTTAAGGCTTTATTTTCAGGGAGTTTCATGTGCTTTTTCCTCTCTCCACCATCAGCTTTTGTCTCAAATACCAAAAACTACTTGGAAAGAGGTCAGAATTCTAGAAGCAGCATCAAAACCTTGCATGGAGGTTGTAAATGCCAGTCACAATACCTGAAAATCTGGTCTCTGATGATGGGATAACCTCCAGTTACAACTTTGTTTACATAGGATGTAAACCATTCCAGGTAGGATGTACCTACATGCCAAAGGAAAAAAGCATTCGTAAGGACAGGCAAATGTACCACTGAGCACTTAACAGTAAATACCTCAAGGAAAAAGCTTAAAGCTTTATTTTTATAACAAACTCTCAGACTTCCTTAGATGAGTCAGTCAGTATTCCAGTTCATCCTACCAACAAGGATAATTTGGAGGAACCAACCAAGAATTAGGAGTTGAGAGTGCATACTCCAGAAATGACACAGCCAGCAAACAATCCCTTCACTATAATACTTTCACATTATGATCACGGTCTTATCATTTGGTTTCCATATGAATAGTTTCTAAAAAACATGCCAGCCAGAGGTAGAATTTCCTCTGCTTAAAAAGAGTGATAAGTCATAGACACACTTCACATCCCTGCTACAAGGCCAGAAGACTAAGGCTGCGTGTCCTTCCAAAGAGCCTGGGATTTTCATACACTGGGAGCCATTGTCTGAGAGCAGCCTCTCATCCACCCACAGCCATGCTTTTGGAACAGCTCGATTGCCAAGCAGACACTCAAGCTGTCACATTTAACTCTCAAACAGAGCTTCACACACAAAATTTCTCAGCCATAAATCTTCCAAGCATTGCAATACAGAGCTCTATAGAAGAGTTCAACTGTTTGTTAGATTTGTTATTCATAAGTGGATTTAAGCTGAAATACCAGCAAATGATTACCCTCACCTTCACTGCTGTGTTATCAGTGCTCCCACTCCTGTTAGATGAAGTGCACCAACCACTTCTTCCTTTGAGCACAAGCTCTGTGTGCTGTCCTTTGCCCTTCTGGAAGTCTAAGGGACTCCATGTTTATTATCCTGCTTTCTACCAGTAATCCACAAAATGCAAACCTTGTGTGAGAAATTGGATCAATTCACCTGCCACCTTCAAGAGAAATGCTGTGTGTGAAGCTTCTCCTCCACCCTGTGGTAAGCCCAGATTAACCCTTCCAGCCCAGTGGAATACTTAGAAACTGGACCATCCCACAGGCAGCAACACCTAAAAAGGTTTCCTCAAATCGATGTGGCTAAGAGTTTGACTCCCTTCTACCCAAGGGACAGCACTGCCCAGTGGGGCTTCTCACTGTAATAAGAAATGTGCAAGGCTAAATTTTGGTATTAATTTTGGTGACACTTGTTACATGTCTCCTTTGCCACTGAAAGGAATTAAATTACAACTACCAGATTTTTTTCAGCGTCTCACCTGGTTGCAAAAACTACTTGGGAAAAAAAAAAGAAATTAAAATCTTTCTCTCCACTTGGGTGTTGTATTTAATAAGTGCTGACATCACCCCATAATGGCTAACAGAGGTTTTGCTCACCCTGTTAGACAGGTTAGAAAGTGACTGGTTTGTATAGAAGGCACACAGAAGGACAAGTTTTAATAGAAAATTTTTTATCTCAAGTGTTACCTGTAATGAACATAACAATAGCAGATGGATTTCGAGCCATTTGGTCCTAAAAGGGAAAGTTTAAGGATGTATTAGAAAGAGAGTATTGGACTTACAAGATTCAAATTCATATACACAGTTCTATTTAACATAGGGAACACTTTCCCAATATTCACTAAACCTGAATTCTTAACACAGCAGGGCTGTGCACAGATGAAGCAAAACAGAAGTGTTTGAGGAATCTTCCGAGTTCCCAAGCAGCACCAGAAGGTTAAAATACTTGGCATAATAAAAAGGAGGATCTTAACATTCTTCAAGTGATCCACTGTCAAACAATCCCTAGAAATGTTATTGCTACCTGCTTTGAAAACAAATGGCCACAAACTCAAGAGCAGGATGAAGATCCCTTTCTTTTTTACAGGAACCATCCTTTACACAGCCCACTTTCTTTTGAGGGGAATGGGTGGTGGAAGGGAAGCCACCAGGTCTTTTCTTCCTTTCAGAAACAGGGAGTATAAATCTGTATATATATATACACACACCTGCCACAAACTGAGCAAATTAAATTGATGCCTTCCAATAACAATGAATCTTGTCCACCATCATGACCTACAGAAACTGCTACAGCCATTAACAACTTAATGTCAATGATAATCAGATGGTAGCTCAGGGGCAAACTAATAATCATCTCTTAGTGTTCACTTTCTGCTACACAAAATATTTCAGACACCCAGTAACATGCAAAGGGGCATCATCAATCATTAGCAAAGTACACTGGCAAGTACAAATAGATGTTCCTTACTGGACACTGGTAGAAGATCTCGTATTTATTCCGTCCCTCCACACTCTCCAGGGCCATGTACTGGCTCAGGCCAGTGTGGATGCAGAAGGTGAGGGGCAGGCACTGCTTCAGCCCCAGCCTCTGCTGGAACCCCCCAGCTGCTGTGTCGATGTCCAGCAGGTCCTCAGAGCGGTAGTGGTTGGACAGGGCCATGCTTCCCATCAGACTGGAAACAGCAAGAACAGGGCAGATAAATTCACAAGGCAGAGTTGTAATCTTCTGGGAAATATAACAACAGCCAGTGATCTGTATCTCCAGTTTTGTACAAGTTCATTTCGATACTATCAAAGCATCCACGATGGTTCCATGTAATAATCAATGCCAAGCTGCTACAGGAACAGTCAGGGATCAAAATTACCCTGAGCAAGGTGGTCTGTGCTTCAGAGAAAAGGCTGAGAAGCAAAATAACCACCGAGTCAGAGAGATGATAATTTCACTATAAACCTAAGGCGTGCAGACACAACTAAACAGACATACAAGGCAGGAGTAAGATAAGATTCATCAACATGACATGGCAAGGCCATCAACTGTCTAATATTTAACGAGCTTTATGTAAGCATCACAGCAAAGGACAGGATTTTTTACTTGCTTTTGACAGTAAGAAAGAGATGTTGAAACAGTAAAAGCAGTCTGTCCTCTCATACATAAAAGAAGTAAATAAGCATTTGGAAAAAAGTAATGCTAATTGGAAAGGCGTAGAGGATTAGGAATGGAGGGGAGCACTGGAAGCTAAGGCTAATGTTGGTAGGAATGCTGGGCTACATGAGAGCCAGCGTGCAAATAAAAAACCAAAGCAACCTCCACTCAGTGTAAGAATGATCAAAAACGGCAACAGGATCAAACTGATAACTCCAAGGGCAGTGCACTGGGCAAAAGAAGAGTACACAGGTCTGCAGTGTACAGCTCCACACCCACACTCCCTGCTGAGAACACCACGGAAAGGCAAATTAGATGCAAACCCCTGCAGATGCTGAGCTTTCAGTGGAGTTATGAAAGCAGTGACTCAGGTGCAAGCTGCCACATGTCAGTGTGCCATAGGCTGATCCCATCTGGGGCAACAGGTTCCATTCCTCTTTCTCCTTACAGAGTCACGCCTGGAATTAGCACGTTCTGCCAACGTCCAAACACAGACACCTGGAGCATCTGACAATGACAATTGCTTCTATTTCTGATTTATGCTGAAACTGCATAAAACAGTTTGCAGAACTGACATTTTCATTCTACTTAATATGACTAACTGGTTTGAAAGTTATTCCCTAGCCATTTTAAAGGAAAAAAAAATATTAAAGAATGAAGTCTGAGGAGTGCAAGAGGCTAATTTACTTCTGTAATCCAAAGCAAAACTTCAGGGAAGCAACTTGCAGTGGGATGATTAAAAGCGTAACAGCTGGAAGTTTGAGTTACTGAAAAAAATCAAAAGGGTTTCACTAGGAAAAAGGGAAGTTTAGGAGTAACTGGAGCAATGAGAAATCTACCCTGCGTTTTCAGTTACTTCCAAGATTAGAAGGCAGCCTTCTGGAAGCGTCACTCAAGTGGTGACTCAGTGACAATCCATTTAAATGCTTCATTTATCCTGTTCAGGAGCCATTTTACCTCATTAATAAACAAGGTGTCCCAGAAATGCAACAGGAATGAATAACTCTGTGAGCAGTTTCCTCTCCTTACCCAGGCACAACCAACTTCTGCCCGTTGTGGATGCGGAAGGAACACCGATAATCATCCGGGAGCTTGCAGCGTATCTGTGCTTCCACAGCATCCAGGTCTTCCTCCCTCACACTCTCTGGGGACAGAAGAAATGCTATTTCAAGTATTTCCGACACAAAGCGTGGCATTTGTAAATGCCTTGATCAAAAGAACACAGAGTCAAGTCAATATGTGGTGACTTTATCATGTGCTGAGTGGCACAGGATGAATATGACATAAATTTGGAAGGGAGATGATGACATAAACTGATTATTTAAGACAGCCCCAATCTCCAGCCAGTGAAATCTCAACAGGCCTGGCTTCAGCACAAAGTATTTATAAAGTGAAAAGAACCTTTTCCCCAGAATTTGTCATGAGCTGAGCCCCAGTTACAACTTTCAGGCAATATTGATTTTACCCTTTCATCATTCCCTCTCAGTTTCCAGTTCAATCAGTAGCACAGAAATGTTGGCTGCAGCCACCATTCATATGGAATTTGAAGCAATGAGTTTTAAAAAGGGGATTTTCATATCAAAACCAGAAAGGGGTGGAGAGTAACTGTTCTTACACCATGCAGGTTTCCACACCCTCACTCCTAGCAAAATTCAACTGGGTGGCCTGTGTGGTCTGTTCCAGTCAAGGTCTGTTTGGCAATCTTTTTAAACCCTTTTTGTATTCATTAACTGTTTCATTTATAGGATACAATTTAACAATTCATTGAAACAATATCCCTTACAAAGGGCATTAAAAAGGTTTTATCTGAAAGGTTTATCTAAAAAGCTCTTATCTAAAACCTGCCATGGCTCTACAAAGTGTGGAAATTGATAATTTTAATTTATTTTTTACTTTCTGTAGACAAAGAAAAGCTTCATTGCACCAAGCTCCTTAGGAGGGATTTTGAAAGTAAAACTGGTAAAATCTGTTTATTTCAACACCTCCAACTTTCTATTTTAGTAACAAAATATCTGACTGACAATACCTGAGTGAAGCCTCAAACCACCCCTCCGCAAAAACGTAAAGAAAATATTAAGTTCTAAGCATATTCTAATATCACAAATATTTAGCAAAACTTAGGAATCCAGCACTATCCAGCAAGCCAAGAAAATTCAAGATTTAAAAAGGAAAAAGATAATTGTGAAATTAAGAGACAAATTAAGGTTAAATCAAACATCTTGGACTAAAAGCCAACTTCATACAGAAAACTGAGCAGTTAAAAATTTAAAAGCCTTTTTTGCCCCTATACCAGAAAAGCTCAAACTCAGCTGTAGCTGTGTAAGATTCATGACCCAGAACACTGGAAGTTCTTCAAGTCTTAAAATACAAACTGAAATTGAAAATAGAATCTTAAGGGGGGGGGGGGGAAGGAAAAACTATTGTTTGAACATAGTGAAAACTACAGGGAAACAAACAAACAAACAACTTCCTTTTTGTTTAGGTTCATGTCTGGTTTCGTGTGACTGTGTCGTAATTAGGTGTTAAGAAAACCTCCCACATAAAATGAGAGTAATAACGGTGAGTAATGGGATTACTACTCTCCAAAATATCAACCAAAATATCCACCCTAGAAAGCAGAGACAGGGCTGGGTGACCCGGCGGGTGTGGCTGCACCTTTCAGGGAGCCGATCATGCGGGGACAGCGCTGCCCCAGGTACTGCTCCAGGTCGTCCCACGCCTTCTTCAGGGTGGCATAGTACTGGATGTACCTCCCCAGGTCCGAGTAGGTGCTGATGAAGATGGATTTCCAGCTCTCCTTCCGGCGGCTTTTCTCCTCTCTAAGTGGGCACAAAGGGAATAAGTTCAGTACCGGTCTGAAAAGCTCGTGTTTCAAACTGAAGGAGCTGGGATTTGTTATTTGGCAGGAATATTAACCCGGGAACATTTTGTGCCACGTGAAGCTACACAAACTCAATTAATTCCAGCATCTATTCAACAGCAAGCTGGAACCAAATTAGGAAACATTTGGGGTACTTAGGGGAAAATTTGGAAACAATGCTCCTTTACAGAGAGTGCCTTTTAAACAGAGTCTGTATAATAGTGAATTCTGGAACTGGTGAATAGTTAATTCACAGCACATTTCACACACACACTTTTTATCTACTGCATTAGTCACAAACTACTTTATTACCCACTAAGAAGGATTAAGGAGCAAACCAGAGAGTTAGATGAGAACTCATTGACTTTCCAGATCAGTGCACATTCTTAGGGAATTCCTGTATATTCCATTTTCCTCACAGGCTATGGGAATTCAGGCTGTCAAAAAAGTGCTGACTAACATCTGACTGAGGATGTTTGCCTCCAAATTGTTGCAGCCCTTGCATCTCTCTGTTAGGATATATTCCAGCTCCTCACTCCAATGCTGAAGCTACAAGATTTAGCACACCTTCACACACTTAAATAAAAATGTAACAACTGAGAAGTCTCCACATCAACTCTTCTCTGTCCGCTCATAAAACGTTTTAACCCTCACATGTTCATGAAGCTTTTTTACATAATTTATCATGTTTCATTAGAAATTCATTTTTATAGAAAAAAAAGGTTTTAAGCAACCCTACTTACTCTGACATAAGCCAGTATTTCTTGCAGTGTCTTTTCCACAATGGATCATGGCTTGACAGCTGATTCAGTCTTCGATTTAAATAGCAGCAACTATAAATATAAAATCATTACATTTGATTGCAGAAGAGCAGCAAAACAAACAGAGATAAACACTGAGCAGTGCATTACACAATGCATTCCCCTGAAATAAATGCAGAGTTTGAAAGCCAGCTAGCTGGCCTTTTAGAGCTGTGCTTACAGTGGTTAAAAGTCTTCAGTAGAGCTGTGTAAGTCATGAACTACTTTCCTACAAAGTGATTTTGTAAAGCAGGTCATCCCGTAGACATACACCACTATAAACACTGCCTGAAAGATCCCAGCATGACTCCACCCTTCCAGCAGCCAGCAATCCAGCAGCACTGGCTGGCTAGGATTTCAGTCCCTTTCTTACCTGGATCCTCAGGCTCTACCTTATCTTTCCCACGGTAAGCTACAGAAACTATACAGTTGAAATGTTACAAAGTTACTCCCCACTTTGAGGTGTTTAAACAACAAACTTCTCGACCAGAAAAAAAGACAGACATCGGAAAAATAAAAAGGATGACAGACCTGGAAATAAGTACTGCGATGTCACCCTAATGAAAACCAGGTACCAGCTCTTGCCGTTGCACTGCTGCTTCAGAAAGTTAAAAGAATCACATCCTGCACTACAAAGCACTACTGCAAGTGAAATAATAAACCCCCTGTATATATAGGCCTAAAACAGTCCTCAGAAATCATTTAAGGTGATCCTGGCTTGATGCACTTGAGCTGAATTATCGGCTAAACTTTGAAGAACCTCCCCCAAAGATACCACCAGTTTAGCTGAGGCACCATCACTTCCTCTGGTACCTTGTGAATGCATGTGAATGGCTGCAATTAACATCGAAATACACAAATGAGGCTACCAAACTTAAGTTTTTAGTTACTGCTCTTTGGGGTTTTGTCAGTGTAGAACAGAAACTGGTACATAATGAGATAAAGATGACTCTCAGTCTTATCTTTTATAAGTAAAATCAGCCAAAGTCCACAGCTGGTCAAAGCATCTTGCAATAAGAATACAGAATTATTCATATTCACCCGTTCAAGACGTCTTTTTTCCTCCCTCATATCCACTATAAGCTGTTTAAACTAGAACTGTATTTCAAAATCAACCTCCAAGTGATTCTCCTGCATGTACTGAAATTATCCTCTGCATCCTCAACAACACAAACACATTCACTTCAACCCCTGACATTTGGCTATGTAAGAACTTCATTCATGACACGGGGACTTTTTATATTTACATGTTTTATTTTTATATTTATATTATATATGGGGTGTGGGGAAAAGAAATATCTTAAAGTCAAAGCCCTTGCAAAAATCTGTTATGTTGGTGTTTATCAATCAAGCCTGTAATTTCTGGAAGGAAAGAAGCTAGGGAGGCATCAACAGGATCATGTGGCTTAAAATGTGATAAAAGTGCAATTAAAGCCATTCTCACTAATTACATAAACAACAGAAAAGCTGAGAGGTGACCAAATATTTAAGGGCTACCACCAGATTTACCAGCTAGTGGAATAGAGGGAAACCGTAGCGTTTGCAATGCTAACTAAATGTAAACCTAGAGATTTCCTCAATTAACACTTTGAGTGCTAGAGCCATTTATGCAAAACTGCCATTACTGACCTTATTTATAAGACACCTACCCAGTATTTAGCTATCATTGCATAGCAAAACCCATCTTATTTTGTTAAATACATAACAGAAATTCTAGTTCCTTTACTACATTTACCATTAGCAACTACGACCAGACCATCCATAACAACTGTTAAGAGTTTTTGTTACACTTTTGTTACACTCTTTTTTTTGTGTCTTTATCCTATTTTATTTATAATTATTCTTCCCTCCTTGATTGAACAGCGATTTCAATCACTGCAGTTCACCGGTGGGGTTTCACCTAAAGCCACGCTCTCATCTTCCCTGTGTGAGCCACAGCTCCTCCAAGCAGCACCTGCAACTTTCGTCCCCTGAAAAGTCACCCGATTAATTTCGTTTGGTCTCCCTTCAAACAGCAGCTCGTTCGCACGATGGAATACATGTACTGGCAGCAAGACCACCCTTTGTCTGCCCACGGATACACAGGAGTTTTAGGGGGGGGGAAATTATTGATTTCCCAAATTCAGTTATTGGTTCGCTTAGGTACAAACAAAGCCAACACATAAAAAAAAAAAAAAAAAAAAGCAAAATCGCAAACTGGTTTGGGTTGAAAGGGACCTCAAAGAGCCCGGAATTCCCACCCTGCCGTGGGCAGGGACACCATCCACGATCCCACGGTGCTTTAAACCCTTCCAACCCGGCCTGCAGCACTGCCACGGATGGGGCAGCCACAGCTTCCCCGGGCAATCTGTGACAGTGCCTTACACCCTCTCAGTAAAAGGCAACACATCAACTTGTCTAAAAATAAAAAAAAAAAAAAAAAAAAGGAAAAACGGGGGAAAGCCCGCAGCTGCTGGAAGGGTCCTCGGGCCGTGTTCGCCGCAGGAAGCCGAACCCCTTTCCCCACCCAGCCTCGGGAGCACCGTGGCCACGCCAGCCCCGCGGGCCGCCCGTACCTCACCAGATCCCGGTAGTCGAGGAAGCTGAGGATGAGGAGCAGCGGGTCGGTGGGGAGCAGCTCCAGGCTCAGCGCTGCGGGCGGCTCCATGGCCGGCTCCATGGCCGGCTCCGCGTCCGCCGGCGCCGCCATCTTGGGACAGTGCCGGGTTCGCACCGCCCATCGCGGCACGGCCCGGGCAGCGCCCCCTGGGGGCGGCGGCGCCTCGGCCTCAGCCGCAGCCGCCTCGGCCTCAGCCGCAGCCGCCTCAGCTCGGCCCGCGGCCCGGCGGGATCGGAGCACCCGGCCCGGCTGCGGGGCTGCGGGGCGGGCAGGGTCCGGTGCAACCCCGCCTCCGGCCCCAGTGCCGCCTCGGTGGTTAAACGTGTCATAAAATCATAGAATCACAGGGTTTGGAAAGGGCTTCAAAGATCATCTTGTTCTCTGCCATGGGCAGGGATACCTTCCACGAGACCGGGTTGCTCCAAGCCCTGTCCAGCCTGCGTTTGAATGCTGACAGGGTTTGGGTATCCACAGTTTCCCTGGGCACCCTGTGCCAGTGTCTCTCCACCCGCACAGGGAAGAATCTCTTCCTCGTATGTAACCTAAATTTCCACTCCTTCATCCTGTGCCCATTACTCCTTGTCCAGTCACTACAGTTCCTGACAAAGGGTCCCTCCCCAGCTTGTCTGGAGGTCCCTTTCAGATGCTGAGAGGTTGCTCTGAGGTCTCCACGCAAACTTCTCCAGGCTGGTCATGCCAAACTTTCTCAGCCTGTCTCCATAGGAGAGGTGCTCCAGTCCTCTTATCGACTCCATGGCCTCCCCTGAACCTGCTCCAATAGTTCTGTACCCTTCTTACGCTGGGGACACCAGAACTGGACACTATTCTCCAGGTCGGATCTCACGAGAGCAAAGGGGGAAAATCCTCTTCTTCAGCCTTGGGGCGCAGGCCAGGATCCCACTGGCTTTCCAAGCTGTGAGCTCACCCTGCTGGCTCATGTTTTCATCAGTTTTTCATCAGCCCTCACCCCCAAGTCCTTCTCCACAGGGTTGCTCTCCATCTCTTCTCTGCCCAGCCTGTGTGTCTGAGATTGCCACCACTCAGGTGTAGGACCTTGTTGAAGTTTGTCCCATAGGGCTGCTTGGCTCACACAGAGCCCCAGCACTGTGGGGAGCTGAGACCACCAGGGTTTTGGTGCTCTGTGCCCTGGTGCTGCTCAGCCCTCGCTGACTGTGCCAGTCTGTGAGCCCTGGGCAGGTGTCTCCATATCCTCAGGAACCCCAGATGGTGTCTGGCTCCTGTGGTTTGGGTACTGGCAGGAGCCCAGCTTACCAGTCTGGGGCTTAACAGATGCACACAAAGCTGTGCTTTCCTTCTAATGAGTATTAAGAGATCAAGTGTCTTAATTTGCTTTCCTGAAACAGAAAAAATTATCTGTGTTCAGTGGAGTACTTGGACCACTGAATTTTCACGTGGATATGTTCTTGTAGGATCAGACCATGGGGATCCCTGAAAGATGAGGGGGAACCAACTGCTTCCAACAGGAAATTGTTTGCAATTGCTTTGAAGTTTCTGTTTACCAAAGGGACAGGAATTAGTAGGAGGTGTTGGGGTTGTGCACCCAAGAGAACTTAAGAGCCCCTACCAGTGCCTAAAGGGGATCCAAGACAGCTGGAGAGGGACTTTGGACAAGGGCCTGGAGTGAAAGGACAAGGAGGAATGGCTTCAAACAAAAAAAAAGTGCATCTTAAGGGTATATATGGATCCCATTTTATATGAAAAAAATCACATGATGTGTGACAGCTGCAGCAAAAATAGAAGTTGCTCTTTTACGTCCCTCACTTTTAGTGAGCTTGTTCTGATTTGAGAGAAAGACTTGTTTCTACTGCATGATTTACATCTACTAATCCTTTTTCTCTGTCTTCTTTTTCAGGTAACAGTAGGATTTATGAAACAGTTCATTGTCCTAGCAACACCCCTTAAATAAGAGCTGAAAAGGAACAAGCTGGTGGTTATGACCTTATAACTGTAAAGTTCCCTATAGAGAAGAAAGTACAGTAATAAAAGTATATTTAAAATGTTACTAAAATGCTATTAATTGTGTTTGTCCTTGGGTTTGTGGTCCATGAAGATCTAAAAATGCAGAGCCAAGAGAAGGTCTATAATCTTTATCTCCATTAGGTTTTGCCAAAGGATTGATCCAAAGCCTGGAGAGTTTTGCTTCTGATACTTGCATAGATCTGAGGTGTTACTCGAGGGTTTAGCACTTGACTTTCCTAAAGGATCTCCTAACAAGTGTGAAAAACACATAGTGAAAGAGAAATATCTGTTCCTGAGACAGAAGAAAACATTAATAAAAAGCAACCAATCACCCAAAACCCACAAAACCAAAATCAAATATAAACCCACTTAGAATTGCCATATTTTGATCTTGTGCCCACATCAGCCTTTGCATTCAGCATCACGTACCTGACAGCTGCACAAAGTAACACCAGGAAGTCATCATGGAATTTTTCCAGCTCACTCTAGACATAAAGGTTCTTTTCCACTTTAATAATCAGAGCCTAATTTTTCTTCCATTATCACCAGCCATAGAGCCCAAATGGCCAAAGAGATCAGAGGTGCTGCTCGGGCTGAAAATTTCTCAGATTGCTGCGTGCATCCCATGTTTAATCTTTGAAGGATGATGAGGCTTTTAGCATCCTTCAGTTATTTTTACTTATTGAAAACCTAGTGAAATTAAACACTAGGAGTCTTCACCACTGGCCGCTGAATGTCTCTTGAAATTCAACTGATGTGCTAAGGTTTGTGGGCAGGGAGTGGTCTGCTTTTCACATCAGCTTCTTAGTGCTCTAAATGGACAATAATAAGTGGGCAAAACTGAGACTTTGAGGGGAGTAGGCAGCTTGGGGAATTGGCAGTAAGCAAGAAGGTGAGGTCCAGAAAATTTGGATTGTTATTATACTGTTATTATTGGGTTTGTTCTTTACTGTGGCAAAGATGCAATAAGGTCAGGGCTTTATAGGACCAACAAGGCAGTGACCTTTCCTTGGAAATCTGATCATCTCAAATTACCTGGAACACAAGGAGTGGCTGTAACAAAGAGCATGGAAGGAGTAAGGTAAGCAAATTAAAAATGGGAGCTGTGGGGTCATCCAGTGACTCCAGTGAATCACATGTAGATATCAAGAGTTCAGCAGTCCTTTGAAAAGTAGGGAATTTACGTATGAACTGATAACAAATTGCTTTTTGAGGCTTCACGGGAATGAATCTCAGATGAGATGTGAAAGATGACAGGGAGACAGAGAAAGGGATCAGAGCCAGAACTTCATGGAAACGTGTACGTGAACAAACTGAATATTGCAGAGCAGCTTGTCAGACGTTTTAGTACCAAATGGGATATCTGTCAGAGTACAGCTCTGAGCTGCCTTCTCACAGAATGAAACAACACAGGAAAATCCCTTCCTCATTACTGCCACGTGGACCCAGGCAGAAACACACCCCTCCTGAATCTCACAGGTTGGTAAATTAGCCTTGAAAGCTGCACAGTCAAACAAAGGGATCACCAAGAATCAACCAGTGGACTTCATCTAGTGGTTACAGTGAAAGACTCCGAGCAGCTGGAATTGTCTGTCTGTTCTGTCTGGAACTGTGCAGTGACCCTCCATGGATACTCTCGTCTGTATCAGCTGCCTGAGGTTATCAGAAACCTCCTCTGGTCCTCCCAGCTCTGAGCCAAAGCGCTCTGTGACTTCAGCCTTGTCTTTTGTTATTAGCAAATATTTTTGTCTCAGACTCTTAGCTCTGAAATGGGTCTAAAATATTTCCATACGTTTGGACAGTTTGGAATCCCACTTAGAGAGGAATGTTGATTAAGGGTTTTTTTCTTCACGTGAAAGATTCAATGTTGACACAAAGTGGCATAGCCAAGTTTTATTCTTTCCCAGGATTGCTTAGCTTGGAGCTGGTTTGCTTTTCATATCATCATCTTTCACATAAACCAAATAGAAAATACTGCTAAAAATGTAAACATTAACCTACAAAAGTATGAGAAATAAAGTTTTCCTTCTCTACAGAGCATGGATGGCATAGAAAGGCATGATTCTTGTCTCTAAGAGCTAACACATGCAATTAAGCAGAAAATGTGTAAGAGGTGAGTGGATAATCAGAGGTACTTCAAACAGATCAGCAGCACTGCTACCTGTGTTCAGGTTTTGTACATAATTATGTGTACCAGATTAACACTGACAGACACTAGCACTGACAACGTCCACGGGAGACCAAGATTGCTGATTTCAATCTTAACTTGGCCCAAAAGGGCAGTAATAAAACCTCAGGAATATTCCAAATTTCATGCACTTCCAGAGTTTTTACTGTGCGTGATTCCTAAGTCCTGATGTGTGAAAGACCCCACCAAAAGCAAGGGTTGGAGGAATTTTTCATGATCCTGTGGATAGTGCTGACACCTTGGTTGTTTTGTGTGGGAGGTCAGGAGGTCTTTTTTTTACCTGAGGAACATGGAGAATAATGAGGCAGCCCTGGAGCAAACCCTGCTGCCATTCTTTCCTGAACTAATAGACCCCACATCTGTATGAAGCAGAGAGCAGCTCACTCTTCAGCTCCACTCACTCTCTTTAGGTCATTAGCTGAGACTGTTAATGAGGAGGGCAGTCAGATGAGGCTGCAGTGGTGGAGGTTTTGGCCACCAACAGCTGAACTCGGAGTACACTCGTTCATCAGAGGATGGCAACAACAAACGGCTGGAGTGCTGAGCTGGGTTTGGAGAGGCAGCACACAGATAAAAGCCTCCAGAAGCGCTTTGCAATTCCCTTAGTCATCCATTCCCACCCAAAGCTCCTGTTTCGAAGCTTCCAGGAAGCCTGGTGCGACCTTTGCTCGTCCTTTTGGTCCGAGCTCTTATCTGTGTCGTGCAGCCCCGGCCCCTCTCTGCTCGTCCTGCTCAAAACCAGTTATTATGGGATAAACAAACCATATTTGCTGATGCACGTTCTCACTTCTCTTATCAGCTGAACAACACGCTTCTCGTGCGTGGTGGGTCAAACAAGCTGCTGGTCCAGCTCCAAGAATTCCAGGGCAACTGCATCACAGCTCATCTGGTGCTCACTCACGGCTCTGGACTGCGAAAAATCACAACCACGTGATGATG